AAAAAATCTTTGGGAGAAAAAAAAAAAAAAAACCACTTTATTCAACAATTCGTCTCCTCCACCCTGTAGCGCCATTTTGGAGAGTATAAGCTGGACGTAAACAACGTATGCTGTTCTGTTTCAGCTGCGTCACGCCTGATCTGTTTCCTACGTTGTTGTGATTTGATCTGACGGAAACAGCGTAGCCTATCCGTGTGACACAGCTGACACAGAACAGCATACGCTGTTTACGTCCAGCTGATATTCTCGAAACGACATGAGGGTGAGTAATTAATGACATTTTTGGGTGAACTAACCCTTTAAGGAATTCCTGTATAGTACTTGTTTTGCGTGCCAGCAAATCTGTCCTTGTCTGGCATTGTATGCATAAACGATGACTAAAGAAAGCGAGCATGGCTTGCAGCGCTTAAGTTAAAATACTGTGTGAAATAATAAAGAAAATGTTAAAAGAATGAATCTCTAAAAAATAAAAAATAAACGATTTAACCAATACTAACGTGAACTTGACATGTGTGGGTGCTTAAAATAGACTTTACACTTTCTGTGTGATTAGCCAAATCATGACCATTATTTCATGTTTGTATGTGTGTAACCTGTGTGTGTAGTCCGTGTGATCTGAGTGATCTGGAGTATCTTGATGAGGAGTTTCATCAGAGTCTTCAGTGGATGAAGGACAATGACATAGAGGACATGCTGGACCTGACCTTCACGGTCAATGAGGAAGTGTTCGGACAGGTCAGTGTGTGACTGTTTGTGTACACAAACAGTGTGTAAGCTTGCACAGCCTCTCGCCATTGTCTCACAGAAGCGCGTGTGTGTATGTTAGATTACAGAGCGCGAGCTGAAGCCTGGCGGGGCAAATATCCCAGTGTCAGAGAAGAATAAGAAAGAGTACATCGAGTGCATGGTGAAGTGGCGTATAGAGCGGGGTGTCGTCCAACAGACGGAGAGTCTTGTGCGAGGCTTTTATGAGGTACTGAAATCAAATCAACACTCCAGAAGCTTTCAGTCACATAAAAACATGCCACTTCTGCCATGTAGTGTTGCCATGAGATATTTCAGAAGGTTTTTTTATTGAATTTCTGTCTGATAGATTTGGGTCAATGTACAATTTTGGTTTTAAATGTTTTTGTTGGCTTTAATATAACAAGAAGTCTTGCTTGTCATTTAAAAGCTTGGGGTCATTAAGATTTTTTTTTAAAGAAATTATTATTTTTATTCAGTAAGGATGCACTGAATTGATCAAAAGTGACAGTAAAGACATTCATAATGTTACTGAAGTCGTCTATTTTAAATACAGTGGGTATAGAAAAGAATACCCCCCCCCCCCCCCCTTTAAATTATTGCTTTGCAGCCTGAAATGAAGAAGGATACAGTTTTTGTTTTATCCAGCTGTATTTACTCAGTGCAACTTATAACATCCAAGTGAAAGATATAACACCAACATGTCAGAAAAAAACAAAAAACAGAATCACTGAGTTGGAAAAAGGATCATCCCCTTGTGTCAGTGTTTTGTTGAACCAAATTTTGCTTTAATTACAACTTTTAGTCTGTTGGGATATTGATGTTTTTTACCATATTTTTATCAAATAAATGCAGCTTTGGTAAGTGTAAAAGACTTCCTTCAAAAACATGAAAAAAAGTGTACTGACCTCAAACTTTAGTTATAAAAAAAAATAAAAAATCCTATAAAATTAAAATATGTGACTCATGTCACTCTTTCTTTTAATTCATATTAACTCATGTCACTTTCTTTAACAAAACTGGCAATATGTTAAGAGTTACATGTATTAAATATTGTTAGTTAATATAATTGAATAATATAATTAAATAATATTACATTTAAATGCTTAAAATATCATTTATTAATATAAGTAGTGTTACAACAACATAAAATCTGGAAAGCATTTACAAAATATTTCTTGATGCTGAAGGTTATAGTCATAACCACATAATATCCCCATATTATAATATTAATATTAAATAATATTATATAATATTAAAAACCCCATGACTTTTAAAGGGTCAATTTTTAAATGTTGTGTGTTGTTAATCAAATGATGTTAGCTTTTCATCAAAATATCTTCAGTAACCCTGGTCATTATATGATTATAATACCTGCTTCAAAAAAATAAAAAATAAAAAATCCAACTTAAAGGAACAGGAACACACATAAAAATCAATATTTTTTTCACTTTCATGTACATTATTTTTTTTTGAAGTAATTTTGAAAGATTTTTCTCACTTCTAAATGTCAGCAGTGCTTCTGATACTGTTTTTATTATCTTTAATTAGCATCACTGACAAAAGATCAAGTCAGCCAATGAGGAATGAAATGTATTTTTAAAATCCTAAATTATTTAGTCTAACCTTGAATGAAATGAGAAAGAAGATGAATTAATTAATACAACACGGAAGGTTTAATGTATGATTGATGAGTTTCATTTCTGAATTGTCTTGAAGGGATAGTTCACCCAAAAATGAAAATTCTGTCATCATTTACTCACCCTCATGTCGTTCCAAACCTGTATGAGTTGCTTCCTTATATTGAACATAAAAGAAGATATTTTGAAGATTGCTGGTAATCAAACAGTTGGTGGTTGCCATTGACTTCCATAGTATTTTTTTTTCCTACTATGGAAGTCAATGGCAACCACCAAATGTTTGATTATCAGCAATCTTCAAAATATCTTCTTTTATGTTCAATATAAGGAAGCAACTCATACAGGTTTGGAACGACATGAGGGTGAGTAAATGATGACAGAATTGTCATTTTTGGGTGAACTATCCCTTTAAGGTACAACTATACAATGATCCATTTACTGTAGTCTTACCCAACAGGAATACAGGTTACCAGTCTAATAAAACCAAGAATTTCACATCATATTTCATAGTGCTGGCACTGAGCTGGAAGCTGATGTTTTATGGCTGTGAACTGACTGCAGGTTGTAGATGCGCGGCTGGTGTCGGTGTTTGATGCACGGGAGCTGGAGCTGGTGATCGCTGGAACAGCGGAGATTGATCTGGGAGACTGGAGGAACAACACCGAGTACAGAGGAGGTAACAACAGACTGACAGCTTCACTACAGCAGTAATAATGGAATAAATGATTACCATATTTATGATATTACCATCATGGTGTCCAAAACTGTGGTAAAACCATGGTATCAAGATGTGAAGTAAATGATTTATGGCTGAAATATTATCCAGCAGATAGACTGTGGGCTTTTACAGCGTCTGCTAGCCGTACAGGTCAAATTTGGAGTTTATTGGAACAAGTTTATTGGTTTTCCCTCCAGGTTACCATGACAACCACATCGTGATTCGCTGGTTCTGGGCAGCAGTGGAGCGATTCAACAATGAGCAGAGACTCAGGTTGCTCCAAGTGAGTGATGAAAGAGAAACACAAGCTCTTTTTATAAGCCAGAGTGTAGTCTGTACACTTGACCTGTGGCTGAAATGTCTCTGTTGTCTCAGTTTGTGACGGGGACGTCCAGTATCCCATACGAGGGCTTCGCCTCCCTAAGGGGCAGCAATGGGCCACGACGCTTCTGTGTAGAGAAATGGGGAAAAATTACGTCTCTGCCCAGGTAATCTGCCTCTCAACTCAAGATCCTTTTTATAAAAGTTTTAAATACTTGTCAGAGCCCTTTATGATCCCATGAAATTATAACTAGTCTATGTCTGTCAGAATTCATTTATATTTAACCTCCACATTTATTTCAATCATCATGTAATGCATTTCATTATGTATCATGCCAACTACAAAAAATTAAGTAGCATTTTACTAAAACATATTTAGAGGAATCTTTGTAAAAATATACAATAATGTACATATACATAATATACATTTAAATTAATATATACAGATTGGGGTCTGTAAGTTTTTTTTAATTTCTTTTTTTTATAAAATGTCTCTTCTGCTCACCAAGGCTGCATTTATTTGATCAAAAATACAGTAAAAACGAAATTTTATTACAATTTAAAATGATTTTCTATTTTAAAATATTATAAAATGTCATTTATTCCTGTGATGCAAAGCTGAGTTTTCAGCTCCAGTCTTCAGTGTTGCATGATCCTTGAAAAATCATTCTAATATGCTGATTTGCTGCTCAAGAAACATTTATTATTATTATTTCTAATTATTATCAATGTTGAAAACAGTTGTGCAGCTTAATATTTTTGTGGAAACCGATGAATAGAAAGTTCAAAACAAATTTTTACTTGAAATAAAAATCTTTTGTAACATTATGAATGACTTTACTGTCACTTTTAAACAATTTAACGCGTAAAAGCCTGATGTATCCGGTGTTATATAAAAACGGCACAAATTTTGGTCTCACTTTATATTAAGTGGCCCTAATACCTGTGTACTTACATAGTAACTAGATGTGTACGTAGTATGTAACCACAGTGTAAGTACAAATTGGTACATAGTATCTACAGCTGTAATTTTTCTGTAACTACACACATGTAACAACCCTCCGAATGGTTTGTGTAAGTACAAATGTGTAACAGGACATATATAACTACATTTTGTAACAACAATATGTATAAGAGTAATTGGAACAATTTGATCCAGGGGGTGGAGATGGGTAGGTTTAGTGATATGTAAAGTGGGAGGATCTCAAGTAGGTTGAATTGGCGCGCCACTGTAATACCAGTGTACTTACATGACGACTCCTCAGGAACTGTCCACTTAACATAAAGTGTAACATTATGGACACCACCCACAATTTATATGTAATGTAAAGCCTAACTTACTTAATTACATGGTAAATCCATAGGAATTGTTTACTTAATATAAAGTGTAACACTTTCTTTACCAAAAAGTGCTGTTACTCCTGTTACACATTTGTACTTTCAATACCAAAAAGTGTTGTTACCAGTGTCCTGTTACACATTTGTATTTACACATACCATTCAGTGGGTTGTTACATATGTGTAGTTACACAAACATTACAGCTGTAGATACTATGTACCAATGTGTACTTACACTGTGGTTACATACTATGTACACATCTAGTTACTATGTAAGTACACAGGTATTAGGGCCACTTAATATAAAGTGGGACCGTGTCATACATACTATGTACACATCCAGTTACTATGCAAGTACACAGGTATTAGGGCCACTTAATATAAAGTGGGACCCAAATTTCTATTAAGTCTCATTGATGAAACTGAATTCCGATGTAAATCACTTGTTAAATCCATCTTACATAAATAATTAAATGTGAAAATTTGTGTTAAAATTGTATAAACAATCTAAAAAAAAAAAGCACAGTTCATGTTTAATGCATGAAGTCCAATAATGGCACATTTGTCCCAAATAAACCTTTTTTCCCCCCACAGATCTCATTGCTTATGTGATCCACAAGATGGTGCGATCTGGCAATTCATAAAACAGTCACTCAAAAATAGTATGGAGGGAAATTTATGTGATCAGAAAATGAAGTTCATACTTTACTTGTGTTTATTTGTCGTTGTAGAGCTCACACGTGTTTCAATCGTCTGGACCTCCCCCCGTACCCCTCGTTCTCCATGCTGTATGAGAAGATGCTGACAGCAGTGGAGGAGACCAGCACTTTTGGTTTGGAGTGAATGTTGACCTTTGCACTTTGAGCTGATCAAATATACTTCATTTCCACCACCTGTCTAGAAGAGCAAAGAAAGTAACCATCTAAACAGACACCAGAAGCACTTAGACGTATATTTTGTAAACCGGATCACTTAAATATACTTCCTCGGAAAGAAACAAACAGAAAACGATCGGTCACACGAGTGAGTTGAACTGGATTGACAGTGTGGATGTTCTCTGAATGTTTCTCAGGCGCAAACATCGATGACGCCACATTGATCGGCTCTGATTGAATCGAGGAGGACGTGTCCACCCAAATGCAAGGAGGCGTTACTAACTGATTCAATTGAAGAACAAAACAAACCCAAAGGACTTTGATATTCTCACACTCTTTTTATCTGTAAAAAAGACTTTTCTACATAGCATCAAAATGCAGCGTGAAAGAACAAATATTGTGTTGTGAAAGCTTTTTCAGACGTCTCAGATCGCCTCAAACACTATCACACATGACAAATGACAGCGCTGCCCTCTATATTGAAATTAAATGTATATGTTCTCTTTTTATCATATTTATACATTAGTCCATCTCATGTTTGTTTTGACACCATATGCTATCCAAGTAGCCATCATGTCAGATTTGTGACACTTTTGAATGAATTTAGTTGTTTATATACTCCCACACGCAATGTTTTCAAAGGGCATGTTACACTGAAGTGCACTCGCAGACGTACTACAACATCATGAATGTGGCCACTGTGTGCAAACGATAAAAAATGAAAAACAGATGATTTTTTGACTTTGTAGTCCAACCTTGGCCTTTCTGTTGTCCTCGGATAACACAATTTTATTTCTGATGACATTTCGAAAGAGAATGGTCACACACCTATTAAATAAAGCTATAGAAACAGTTAAAGTCAACATGAAATTAAAACGGACCCGATTTGCGTTATTAATATGCCTCATTATGGTATAATAACATTTAATAACATGAAGTAAAATGGCTTTTGTTGCCATTTCATGTTGTCTTCCTTATATCCATATCCTTATATAGCTTTATTGTGATCTCCCCCCCCCCCCCCACCTTTTCATTTTTCACGAAACATTCGACAGTGTTTTCTTGTATGATGTGAAACTTGAATATCAAACCCACAACACCATATCAATACATTCCAGACTTTTCCATTTGCGTTAACTCAACCCAGCCTTTTACAAAACACTGCCGTGGCTGCAGGACGCTGGATTGTACTCTAGTTCTGAATGTTTTGTAACCTAAATTTTGTGTAAGAAATTAATATCGCTTCCAGTGAAAACTGGTGTAGTTGAAACTGCCATGGGGCTTTATGAGGGCCATCAAATTTTGGAATAGCAACAGAAGAAAAACACGAGCATATCATCTTTGTCGATTAGATTATGGCTGGCTAGATCATTAATACAAACCAGATAGACCAGATTTTTATTTATTTTTTGTATTAAGGCATTTGCAGTACCATGCTGATATTTGTGCTGAATGTACCAAAGGTTTAGGGCTACCGTAGACTTGTGGATTTGAAGATGAGTAAATTAATTTTCCATCTTTTAGTCAACTGTTCCTTTAAATGTACTCTGCCTTTCTAAAGACCAGAGGCTTCAGACAGAGATCACGCAAATGTTCTGGCTTTCTGCTGATGTTCATTACTAGAAAGCTGCTGCTTTTGACTTTCTGTACCACTTCAATTTTGCACCATTCACGTGCTCTGAAACAGGTGACTGTTGATTGGATAACAGCTTTCAGAGCTCCATATTTGGGTTTTTCTCTTTTTTGTTTCAGCTCAGATGATTGTATAAAGCTGTTTATATCACGGAAAATGCCTCAGAGTCTTGATTCCATATTCAGATGGGTTATTACTGTTTTTGGTCTTGTTTTGATGAAATGACTGCGTATTCAGATTAGTAAAATTTGAGTCAAACCATATCAAAATTCCATGCCTTTTATTTTTTTCCCCCATGTATTTTATTTTACTTTATTAAAGTTTTTTTTTATTGTTATTAACAAATTGTCTGGCCCCACTTTATATTAAGTGGCCTTAACTACTATGCACTTACATCAAAAATTAAGTACAATGTACTTATTGTGTTCATATTGTATTGCAAAACACTTGCTGCTATTGAGGTGGGATACGGGTAAGGTTAGGGACAGGTTTGTTGGTATGGGTAGGTTTAAGGGTGGGTTAAGGTGTAAGGGATGGGTCAACTGTGTAATTATAAATGTAATTACAGATGTAATTACATGCAGGTATTTTTAAAATATAAGTACAATGTAAAAACATGTACAGTGTATGTACACAATAAGTACATTGTACCAAATTATTAATTTAAATGTAAGTACATAGTTGTTAAGGCCACTTAATATAAAGTGGGTCCAATTGTCTTAACCCATTTACAGTAAATGCAAAATTTAGATTTAAAAGAAAATAAAACTTTTAAAAATAAATCTATGTTTTTACAGTGAATCATCTTGTTAATCACATAGGCTCTTTTTGAGTTTCCACTGTTCACAGCTGACCAGTAACCAATGACATGTTTATGTTTTCTGTGAGCATGAACTTAAACAATATTCTTAATAAATCAACAATACACTATTTGAATATTAACTGCATCCAATATGGTACTTGCATCTGCATTATGATTTATGAGAAATAGTTATAACTTGTTTCCTTTTTATGAATCTTTGGCATCATCTTGCACAAGGAACTGGAATTACATACTATTTACAGTAGCCGTGCTAAAAAGAAATCAAAACAATGCATCATGAACTTTATTGTTTCAGATCTAAAATTATTTTGAAAAGAACTAAAATTCATACTAGATCTCTCAATATGATGCATGCATGGCCATTTGTGAACAGCAGATGGCAGACTACTCATATGGTCTCCTGCCAAAACAGTATCACAGACTTTCAAATGTCCATCTAATCTGAAATGTTTATTAACCTCTGAATCTCACTGAGAGAAACCTCAAAGCCGCTTTATTAGCCACTGCACAGAAATGCACAATAATGTAAGATTTCAGTCAGTCTGACAATATGACAGTCAGCAAGATGAATGAAAATAGATGCTAATTAGCACCTTCCACTGTAAAGAGTGCACATTCACCACTGGGAGAGAAGCTTGTCTTTGCCGCATGAAAGAATGTGCTGATGCAGGTGCTAGAAGCACTCTCGCTGTACAATCACACAGGCCTTGATTGCTGGCTGTGTGAACGCTGGGCCCACCGCCTCTGTTCAATGAGGCAGTATTTTCAGGGTCCCTTAGAAACCTATTTCAGCTGTTTTATCTGTTCAGTAGTGCTTTGCTGACACTACCCATAAACCCTTGTGCTTTTAGTGTGACATGGACCATGCTCTATTTGTGTGTGTGTGTGTGTGTGTGTGTGTGTGTAAAGTGAGTGGGGGTGACCCTGAGCTGTAACAGCTGGTGTGTAGGATCCCATGGGACGTGATAAACTCATCCGATATATAATAATAAATCAGGAAGGTTACTCGTTTTTCCACAAAATACAGTAAATGAAATCACTCGTATTGATGCATAAAACGAGCGTCCACAGATTCACAGTGATCGACAATTTTGACTTGTCATTCCATGCACTCTAATATCTCACAAATGTGCACGTGCAGATGAACACACACAGACATATTGAGTTATTGACCTTGAGGGAGTAAAAAAGCTCATAGTGCCTCTGAAAGATTCCCTGCGAATCATTTATGCATCTTCCCCTGGGTGGAGCAAACAAGAAGCCTAAATAATCAACAAAATCAAGACTGATATTCAATATTGAGGAGGATTTAAAAAAATGGTTATTGGAAAACTCAAATTGGGACCCACTTTATATTAAGATGTACTTACATTTAAATGAATAATTTGATACGATGCTCTTACTATCTTAATTCCAGTAGTTACATCTATAATTACACTGCTGACCCTACTCCTATCTCGTAACCCACCCTTAAACCTAACCATAGCACCAAATCTGTCCCTAATCTTACCCATATCCCAGCTCAATGACAGGAAAAAGCAATTTGCAATACAACATGAACAGAAGAAATACTTTGTACCAAACGATTCATTATTTTGAATGTAAGTGCACTAAAGACAGACACCTAATATAAAGTGGGACCTCAAAGGGACCAGCTACAGATCAAAATGTTGTCTCTTTTTAAATGTCTGTGGTGGTGAAAGTCAAACTAGATCTTGTCATACAATTTTTAAATTTACATTTATGCATTTAGCAGACGCTTCAACTTACAGTGCATTCAGGCTATACATTTTTTTTATCAGTATGTGTGTTCCCTGGGAATTGAACCCACGACCTTTTTGACCTTTTGCGCTGCTAACGCAATGCTCTACCACTGAGCCTCAGGAAAAATGTTGACAACAAAAGGCCAGTAGTTACCATGGTATGTTTTTTCCGCCCGACTTGTTTCATGGAAGTACTGTACAGTATACCACGGTAGTGCACCATAGTATTGCATAGTATTTCTTTTTCTTTTTTTTTGATGTCTTGCAAAGCAGTACTGTGGCAATATCATAGTAATAGGCTAATACACTTTAATACTATGGTACTGGAAATTTATGCACTATGTACTCCAACATACCTACAAGAATACCATGGTACTACCATGTTACATGTTCAAAAAAAACTATGGTAGTACATATTAACTTTAATATAAGTGACATTGTACCATGGTACTATGGTTTTAAAGATGAGGACTGTGGAAATGCCATATTTTTGGTTTAAAGCTACACTATTTAAATGATATCGAGGAACTGCAAAATATCCATCTTCAAAGCCATTTCTTTACCCAAATATACTTTGATAAACCATTTTTTTCCTTTTTTTATTGCAAGTATAAACACTTAACTTCAACAATTAATGCAACATTGGATGACATTATGAATACAGAAATAATATAGGAAGACAAAGAAAAAAATTATAAAAAATGAATAAGAATAAATAGATAAAACAAAGAAATACAGAGGTAGTAAATCAAAATTATGTAACATTCAGCAGATCATTATACAATTTCACAAATTTGACACTTTTTTTGGTATTAATATTTTTTAGTGTTATAATTAAGTAGTTAAAGTCACAAAGAAAATTATGTAATTTTGGAGATGTTGAAGAAAATTTACATTTATTAATATAATATTTTCCCAATAAAATAAATACATTTCCTATATATTCTATGTTATGTTTACAATGAGAAAAATAACAAAATATACCACACATAGTTAAATCAATGTCTACATTGGATTTTGAAGCAAAGAATTTTGACACATCAGACCAAAATTCCTTAACAAGGGGGCATTTGAAAAAAAGATGATCAATAGACTCAATATTGAAATTACAGAAATTATTCTTTTCCTTGACTGAAACACATTTCTTATAATTTTATTATTACATTTTGGGTCATAAATGCACTTGTCATCAACCAAAAAATTTGTCTCCCTTTTTATAATAACTTCAAACGATAGATGAGATTTCATTAAGTGAACAAGACCAGGTATATCTTTAACAATTGTACAGTAAGAAATTCCTTATGAACAACAGGGAAATTGTATTTAAACATGAAATCACAGTAAGAGTAAACAATTCCCTTGAGGATCTAGTATATCACAAAGATAATTAATAGCTTTTTCATGCCAATTCTTAAGAAAAATCGACTTGTTCTTTACTAAAATACTTTCGTTGTTCCATAGCTTCACTTTATGCGGGGAGAAATTGTGAACAAAACAAAGTTTCCATGCCAAAAGTGCCTGTTCATGGAATTTAGAAAGTTTAATGGGGAGTTTAGAAGGGGAAAAGTTACAAGTTAACAAAAATTTAAGACTTCCCACGTTTTTATAGATATTGTATGGGATAAAGTACCAAATAGAATCTGGTGAATTGACACAATTCTTAACCCAATTTACTTTGAAAGTATAATTAATGTAAAAAAAAAATCAAGCATGTCAAAACCTCCATCAGCTTTCTTACCACAGAGAACTTGTTTCTTCAAATGTTGATGTTTGTTTTTCAAA